TTTGTTTGTCTATTCCTTTGACTTTTATTCAGCTTTTATTATAAGTGGCAAGGTGGCAAACATACATGATACTCCTTCCTCTTCCTGCTTTCCCCACAACAACAACAACAACCCATCTCAGTGGGTTGAGAGTGAGTTGAGACTGGACCAGTGGGCTTTCATGCCTAAGACAGGACTAGAACTTACCGTATCCTGGTTTCTAGGCTGGCACCTTAGCCACTTTATCAAACTGGCTCCATTCGAATAGCCTTCCTTTGTGTAGTGATATGGCTCTGCTCTCACCTCCCAATCTCACAACGCTGGAGCAGCTCAGTGCATAAAATTTAAAGTATCAAAAGAAGAGCTACCATTTTTACTTATTTGTTAGCGTTAGATCCCACCTTTATATCCTCCAGGAACCCAATGCAGAATACAAAGCACGCCCATCTGCCAGGTCCTTTTCTGACCCCATAACATCATAACAGGCTCTGTTATGCCCTTGCAGCCAAGATTGGCAATCTCTCAAGATTTGGCTATTTTTAAAAAAGTATTTGGTATCACAGAAATTGCATAATCGTTAGCTGGGGGATATTAATAACTTTGGCAGCAGATGAGTTAGATGGGTATTTCCGAATCCAACATTGTCCTCCAGCAAGAGTAAGAAAACATGTATGTATGTATGTATGTATGTATGTATGTATGTATTATGTAATATTTTGTATTTGTAGACCATCCATCTCCCTTAAAGAGGAGCCCTGGGCAATGTTCAGTATAATATAAAATAGTAAATAAAATTAGAATTAAAATATTGAAGTTAAGTTAGGATATAAAAACTGATAAGATCATAAAACTATTAACAATTTTAAAGCGTCAAAAAATTCCAAGAAGGCAATTTAGCTGTTAAAATTGATTAATAAAAGCAGGAGGAGGAGTCTCATAGCACCAACCAGCCCCATTATTGGATGGTCTTTTGTGCCTCCCATGCAAGTCCACTCCTTTACGGAAAACCAGGAAAGTGGGGAGGGGGCCTCACCTCCAGGAGAAGGATATTCCATTGTGTGTGGGGGGGGCAACAGCAGAGAAGACTCTCTTCCTATATCCCACCAGTTGGATTTTTTTGACTGAAGGGGTTTACAACATACCTTCCTTGCCTGATCAAGTGGGATACGATGGAGCAAAGCCAGTTTTGATAATGTAGCCTGGCCTTATACCATCTACGGCTTTATAGGTGATATCTAACATCTTGAATTGGACCTGGAAGCAAACCAGTGTCCAATGCAGTTTACAGAGCAAGGATGTTATTGTGCCCTTCTTTGGGCACCCAGTATAGCTTATACAGCTATACTTTGCACTCATACTGGCTGTTGAATTCTGGGAGATGAAGTCCAACATCTTACACTTGCCACGGTCAAGAAACACTGCTCTATAGAGATTGGATTCCATCCCCTCCAGCTGAGGATGAGGATTGCAGTCTATACGACAGCTAGTATTCTTTGGAGAAAAAGCAAATGCATGGTACTTAATTCATTTCTTATGGATGTTTTTTTCTCTCAGAACACAGGACGGAAGTGTGTATTTCTGGACCTCTCCTAAACACATTCCCAGCCTCCAGCATTTGTGTCGGATGGCTATCAGACGGGTGATACCTACAAGAAAAGTGGAGACCTTGCCTGTTCCCTCGGCCATCATTTCTTTCCTTTCCTACCGGAGTTAGAAAAACAATCAGAAATGAATAAAACAGCATCAGGCATTTAAAAGCCTTTTGAGCTTCAGTGGCCCACAGGTTTTAACATGGCTTTATTTCCTGAGAAAAGATAATCAAGATCCCAAATATTGACCACATTGAATTTCTAAAGGTATTATTTATAGAAAAACAACCGAGTAGGCCTGTTTCCCGAAATTGTGGAATAGCTTTTTCAAAAGAAAGCTCTAACTGTGAAACCTTGTACATAATTGGATGTCAGCTGCTATGTGCTATCCATGTGTATCTTTTGAGATTGCTTTTTTTTAACAAGTATGTAGTGTGCATGCACAGGCAGTTCACGTGTATATAAATGTGTGCATGAGGGTATATTCACAGTATATAAGCCTCTAAAATTCACCAGTGTTTGCCTCTTTCCCCCCAGATGTAAGAACTGTTATATCAACTTGCACAATACATCCAAGTCATACATTCATGTGTCTGTTGTCTCCGGAGCCACCAGCAAAATCGGTGCTGTGTAAAATAGGGCAGTAATTCTCATCTTAGATAAATGCTGGCAAAATCTTGAGCAGCTTTTGTCGTATACATTAAGTATACAAATCCAACACTGCATTCACCTTACAACAGGGATGGGCAACTATGGTCCCTTTATGTCCTATGGACTTCAATTTCCAGGCTCAGGAATTCTGGGAATTGAAGTCCACAGATCATAAAGGGGCCTTAGTTGCCCACCCCCTGATCTTACAAGGTGGAAGCTGGACGTTTTCTCAAAGCCCCCAACACAGGCTGGACAGTTCATTTAGCAGGAACATCTCCTTTCCCAAGGAGGCCTTAATTTTGTAGCAAAAGTTTATTTGGGAGCATGCAAGGTCCTTAAACTTTTGAATTCCTGCCTGAAGGCTTCCAGTAAATGAGCTATCCACAAGCTCTCTTTTTCATTATCCTGTGAGGCTTTGTCATGTCAAGGCAAAATACTAGGTGCACTACCAAAGACAAACAACTTAGTTTTTCTTAGCTTTTGCCTTCACTTTATCTGGACATGCAGATACAAAGAATGTATGCATTGCTTAAAATGCCTGACTATATTTTGTTTGAATTTTTTTATATGTATATTAAATCATTGTACAAAAAAAAACATCAGAATTCAAAGGCTGGTTATTTACATGTGGAAAGAACAAGAAGGGATTTTGAGATTTGTGCAATTTGTGTTACCACCAAAGACAGTTACTTTGAAGGTACCAACCATTACGTTTTTTTAAAGGACAAATGCTATTTTAGACTGGATAAACATATTTCCAAATCCCAAGGATTGATTCTTCTACTTCTTTCTATGTTGGACAAATGTTATATGGTATCCAGTTCTTGGCATCACTTTCCACTCTCCAGATTTGGAGAGGGCAGTGAGGATGATCAGAGGGTTAGTTTTTAAGCCCTGTGAAGAGAGATTGGAGGAACTGGGTGTATATAGCCAAGAGAGGACAAGACTAGGGGGTTCAGACAACAAGGATAGAAAATAGAGAAACAAGACAGAAATGGGATTTGCAAAATTGTGCTTTCTTTCTATTAAGTAGTTGTCATCTTAAATCCATCTTAAATATGTCTCATTTTTAATCCTGAAATGAATTCATTTTTTTTTTAAATTTCAACACAAAATTCCATCCAATTATTATTTCTAACTTAATTGTTTTTAATGATTTCTTGGCTGCTCAGGATATCTCTGGTGAGCAGGCAGCCATATAAATTCATAACATGATTCATATGAATTTATAACATCCGACAAAAGAATACAAAAAGAATCCATGTCTTGATCTCCAGAAAGTAGGCCACGGAAAAATAGATTTAAATGGCGAAAGACAGTTTGATCAGTAGGTAAAGCACCATATTTCAATAATGGAGTGAAGGACCCAGCTGTCTTCACTTAAACTGAGAACCACAGAATTTTGAGCTTGGCGGTTCACGTGAGATTTTGATAATCATCTTCCATGAATTTGCAGGAGGTAGACAAACCAGAACTGGTGAAGAGTTTCAACGATAGTTTTACTGCTATGTTACAAGAATCTGGCCAGACTGACTGTATTTCCTTGGGAATGGTGAGATATGGCTTCAAGGATTCAGGGGGGGGGGGGGGGGGG